CGTCAAAGTATATTGAAGGGGATAGGTTACATAAACTAGACGTCATATTTTACTGAGATGACAGGTTACATAAACTAGACGTCAAAGTATACCGAGGGGGATAGGTTACATAAACTAGACGTCAAAGTATACTGAGGGGGATAGGTTACATAAACTAGACGTCAAAGTATACCGAGGGGGATAGGTTACATAAACTAGACGTTAAAGTATATTGAAGGGGATAGGTTACAAAAACTAGACGTTAAAGTATATTGAAGGGGATAGGTTACATAAACTAGACGTCATATTTTACTGAGATGACAGATTACATAAACTAGACGTCAAAGTATATTGAAGGGGATAGGTTACATAAACTAAACGTCATATTTTACTGAGATGACGGGTTACATAAACTAGACGTCAAAGTATTCCGAGGGGGATAGGTTACATAAACTAGACGTCAAAGTATACCGAGGGGGATAGGTTACATAAACTAGACGTCATATTTTACTGAGATGACGGGTTACATAAACTAGACGTCAAAGTATTCCGAGGGGGATAGGTTACATAAACTAGACGTCAAAGTATACCGAGGGGGATAGGTTACATAAACTAGACGTCATATTTTACTGAGATGACAGGTTACATAAACTAGACGTCAAAGTATACCGAGGGGGATAGGTTACATAAACTAGACTTCATAGTATACCGAGGGGGATAGGTTACATAAACTAGACTTCATAGTATACCGAGGGGGATAGGTTACATAAACTAGACGTTAAAGTATATTGAATGGGATAGGTTACATAAACTAGACGTCAAAGTATATTGAAGGGGGTAGGCTACATAAACTAGACGTCAAAGTATACCGAGGGGGATAGGTTACATAAACTAGACGTTAAAGTATATTGAAGGGGATAGGTTACATAAACTAGACGTCAAAGTATACCGAGGGGGATAGCTTACATAAACTAGACTTCAAAGTATACTGAGGGGGATAGGTTACATAAACTAGACGTTAAAGTATATTGAAGGGGATAGGTTACATAAACTAGACGTCAAAGTATACCGAGGGGGATAGGTTACATAAACTAGACTTCATAGTATACCGAGGGGGCTAGGTTACATAAACTAGACGTTAAAGTATATTGAAGGGGATAGGTTACATAAACTAGACGTCAAAGTACATTGAAGGGGATAGGTTACATAAACTAGACGTTAAAGTATATTGAAGGGGATAGGTTACATAAACAAGATGTCAACGTATACCGAGGTGGATAGGTTACATAAACTAGAAGTCATATTTTACTGAGATGACAGATTACATAAACTAGACGTCAAAGTATATTGAAGGGGATAGGTTACATAAACTAGACGTCAAAGTATACCGAGGGGGATAGGTTACATAAACTAGACTTCAAAGTATACTGAGGGGGATAGGTTACATAAACTAGACGTTAAAGTATATTGAAGGGGATAGGTTACATAAACTAGACGTCAAAGTATACCGAGGGGGATAGGTTACATAAACTAGACTTCATAGCATACCGAGGGGGCTAGGTTACATAAACTAGACGTTAAAGTATATTGAAGGGGCTAGGTTACATAAACTAGACGTCAAAGTATATTGAAGGGGATAGGTTACATAAACTAGACGTTAAAGTATATTGAAGGGGATAGGTTACATAAACAAGATGTCAACGTATACCGAGGTGGATAGGTTACATCAACTAGAAGTCATATTTTACTGAGATGACAGATTACATAAACTAGACGTCAAAGTATATTGAAGGGGATAGGTTACATAAACTAGACGTCATATTTTACTGAGATGACGGGTTACATAAAATAGACGTCAAAGTATTCCGAGGGGGATAGGTTACATAAACTAGACGTCAAAGTATACCGAGGGGGATAGGTTACATAAACTAGACGTCATATTTTACTGAGATGACGGGTTACATAAACTAGACGTCAAAGTATTCCGAGGGGATAGGTTACATAAACTAGACGTCAAAGTATACCGAGGGGGATAGGTTACATAAACTAGACGTCATATTTTACTGAGATGACAGGTTACATAAACTAGACGTCAAAGTATACCGAGGGGGATAGGTTACATAAACGAGACGTTAAAGTATATTGAAGGGGATAGGTTACATAAACTAGACGTTAAAGTATATTGAAGGGGATAGGTTACATAAACTAGACGTTAAAGTATATTGAAGGGGATAGGTTACATAAACTAGACGTCATATTTTACTGAGATGACAGATTACATAAACTAGACGTCAAAGTATATTGAAGGGGATAGGTTACATAAACTAGACGTCATATTTTACTGAGATGACGGGTTACATAAACTAGACGTCAAAGTATTCCGAGGGGGATAGGTTACATAAACTAGACGTCAAAGTATTCCGAGGGGGATAGGTTACATAAACTAGACGTCAAAGTATACCGAGGGGGATAGGTTACATAAACTAGACGTCATATTTTACTGAGATGACGGGTTACATAAACTAGACGTCAAAGTATTCCGAGGGGGATAGGTTACATAAACTAGACGTCAAAGTATACCGAGGGGGATAGGTTACATAAACTAGACGTCAAAGTATACCGAGGGGGATAGGTTACATAAACTAGACTTCATAGTATACCGAGGGGGATAGGTTACATAAACTAGACGTTAAAGTATATTGAAGGGGATAGGTTACATAAACTAGACGTCAAAGTATATTGAAGGGGATAGGTTACATAAACTAGACGTCAAAGTATACCGAGGGGGATAGGTTACATAAACTAGACTTTATAGTATACCGAGGGGGATAGGTTACATAAACTAGACTTCATAGTATACCGAGGGGGATAGGTTACATAAACTAGACGTTAAAGTATATTGAATGGGATAGGTTACATAAACTAGACGTCAAAGTATATTGAAGGGGATAGGTTACATAAACTAGACGTCATATTTTACTGAGATGACAGGTTACATAAACTAGACGTCAAAGTATACCGAGGGGGATAGGTTACATAAACTAGACGTCATATTTTACTGAGATAACAGGTTACATAAACTAGACGTCAAAGTATATTGAAGGGGATAGGTTACATAAACTAGACGTCATATTTTACTGAGATGACAGGTTACATAAACTAGACGTCAAAGTATACCGAGGGGGATAGGTTACATAAACTAGACGTCAAAGTATACTGAGGGGGATAGGTTACATAAACTAGACGTCAAAGTATACCGAGGGGGATAGGTTACATAAACTAGACGTTAAAGTATATTGAAGGGGATAGGTTACAAAAACTAGACGTTAAAGTATATTGAAGGGGATAGGTTACATAAACTAGACGTCATATTTTACTGAGATGACAGATTACATAAACTAGACGTCAAAGTATATTGAAGGGGATAGGTTACATAAACTAGACGTCATATTTTACTGAGATGACGGGTTACATAAACTAGACGTCAAAGTATTCCGAGGGGGATAGGTTACATAAACTAGACGTCAAAGTATACCGAGGGGGATAGGTTACATAAACTAGACGTCATATTTTACTGAGATGACGGGTTACATAAACTAGACGTCAAAGTATTCCGAGGGGGATAGGTTACATAAACTAGACGTCAAAGTATACCGAGGGGGATAGGTTACATAAACTAGACGTCATATTTTACTGAGATGACAGGTTACATAAACTAGACGTCAAAGTATACCGAGGGGGATAGGTTACATAAACTAGACTTCATAGTATACCGAGGGGGATAGGTTACATAAACTAGACGTTAAAGTATATTGAATGGGATAGGTTACATAAACTAGACGTCAAAGTATATTGAAGGGGGTAGGCTACATAAACTAGACGTTAAAGTATATTGAAGGGGGTAGGTTACATAAACAAGATGTCAAAGTATACTGAGGGGGATAGGTTACATAAACTAGACGTTAAAGTCTATTGAAGGGGGTAGGTTACATAAACAAGATGTCAAAGTATACTGAGGGGGATAGGTTACATAAACTAGACGTCAAAGTATATTGAAGGGGATAGGTTACATAAACTAGACTTCATAGTATACCGAGGGGGATAGGTTACATAAACTAGACTTCATAGTATACCGAGGGGGATAGGTTACATAAACTAGACTTCATAGTATACCGAGGGGGATAGGTTACATAAACTAGACGTTAAAGTATATTGAATGGGATAGGTTACATAAACTAGACGTCAAAGTATATTGAAGGGGGTAGGCTTCATAAACAAGATGTCAAAGTATACTGAGGGGGATAGGTTACATAAACTAGACGTCAAAGTATACTGAGGCGGAAACTAGACGTTTACTCCTTTCCCCGAACTCATTTGTCTACTTTTGAATGCAGTATCACCAATTACCCGAACAATCTTCTCCAGTACTAGTACTAGTAAAACCAAGTATTGGAGATTTTATGGCCAAAGTATAAAGCCAGTTGAATCCCTTACAGACCCAATCAATGAAACATTGGTATACATATTGTTGTTCGTGTGCGTGTGTGCGTGCGTGCGTGCGTGCGTGCGTGTCATAAAAAGTCATCATTTATGAATGGGTCTCCCTCAAAGTTACAAAACTTAACCTCGTGTAAATCCCTTTTGTCCCAAAGAAAAGAAAACCAAGAAACATAAGTAACTATAATTTACACAATATACGAAAAAGAGAAATCGCACAAATGAGGTTTAGTGAAGGATAATAAAAGAGAATCGGTTTAATTTTTAACGCATCAATCAAACTCTTGTAGTTCCTATGTAACAGTGATACATTGCATCGCAACCCTTCCACCTCTTGTGTCCCCTCCCCTTGTTTACAACCCCCTCCCACCCCACCCCCACCCCCACCCTATACATAGATCCCACAGCACGATGTCCTAGCCCTCCCCATCTTGTCCCCACACTGAAGTAGTAGAACACTCAAGGCAATGTGCTCGCTCCTAATTTGTTTATATCAATCACACAGAATCTTATCGCTGGTAATTTGGGAAACCTGTTTCCTCGCGGGAGTGTTATGTAACCTCTCAAGTCGGGCTATATGCTTGGGAATTACTGCGCTGTCAAATTCGTTTATGCTTCCAGGCCATGTTCGTGTCTTAAATGAAGATTTCGGTGAGTTGGCTACTTTTTTATAACAATTCCTTTGTACGAAATGCCATTACCCAAGTAACTTAAGGACAAGGTATATTATAAGGGTCCTGATTTGTCTACAAGATCTGTTTAGGAAATATTTTACGAATCATATCAGATGTGTTCATCTGAATGAGAAATAGACCTTGTTCTTTCAAACTCTTCATGTTTTAGGCTTATATCTGTATGTAGTATAAAAGTGAGGCTGTGTCAAAAAAGTTGATTTGAGAGGAAATTGAAAAGCTTTTTTCTCATATGTGTCTTGACCCAAGCTGCTAATGTTTTTTGATGTATGTGAGGTAAGGTGGATGGGGGATTATATCAGTTAGATTAGTTTTCAGTTGAGTTTATTTGTTGTTTAACGCCGCAATCGATTCTGTACGAGACAGTTCAGTAATTGACACCATGAGCATCGATCTTCGCAATTGGGATACGGTGACATGCATCAACCAAGTCACGGAGTCTGGCCACCCCATCCCGTTAGTCGCCTCTTCCAACAAGCATGGGTTGCTGAAGTCCGGACAAATGACGGTTTTATAGCACCAGCCCACGAGGCTGTCCTACTCAGGCACAGTACACTGACTCGGAGATCATGGATCATCACGGTCACTGGCTTTTAGTATTGGGGCCTTTACACAGGATGGCGATCTTTGTGCCTCCCGTGTGCGACCATAACATTTGCCAGGTCTTCGTTGGAGGCTCAAAGGAGGCAGAATGGTTGCCTGGGTCGTTCCAAGGTGGTACACAGGAGGTTCAGACAGCGCCATAGACGCCATGGTCGCCGCGAATTTTTGAAAATGTTCAAAACAGTCGCACAAAGGTCGTCGGGGAGGTTGGTTGCTCAACGTTGGCTCAAAGGTGGCACAATGAAGGCACAGTGGTCGCCCAGTGGTCTCCAGGTAATAGATGCATTCTGCTGAAATATTTTCCGGTCAAGCTGGGCGATGCTTCTGCCTCCCTCGTGCGTCCTTTGGGCGACCAACAGCGTGCATTGAACGATGACTGTGGCGACCGCCGTGCCTCCCTTCGGCGACCACGGCAACCCTTGAAACACCATGGCAATGCTTCTGCCTCTTTTCTGCCTCCTTTGAGCTACCTGTAGTGCCTCCTCAGCCTGCCTATAGAGGGCTTGTACCTGCAGTGTTTAAATGTGGTTGTAGACGCTGGTTAAACTGCGGGATGGTATCTCAGTGGGCTAGCACTATAAAATCGACCTTAGTCCGGACTAGTACAAGCAGCCAAACACATACTCACCTCACCTCACCTCACCTCACCTCACCTCACCTCACCTCGCGCGTCGTATCTTCACACACCTAATCGTTGAATTCATGGCATAAATCCTGCTCCTATTTTCTTGTAAATTTTTGTTAAATGTGAGAATCAAATCTTAGAGAACACTTCAACATGTTGTTTTATTAGGATCACCTGAGGATACTCATCACTTCCTTCCTTATTTCTTGATGTTTTGGCTACACGCATTTTTCATGCTCCGTTTCTCTGGAACACCGCGTTCCAGTTGAATGAATACAAGTAGAATTGGTTTGTACACTACTATGTAATGATGATTCATTGTAGTGATTTGGTTACCGCAAGATCGATATTCCTTGCACACTGATAATCTACAATCATGCCTTTCTCACTGGGTTTCCATACAGCGTTGACCTTTGAGATAAGTTCTTTCTACATCAGGCTGGGTATTGAGTAATAATAGTTCAACGGCAGGGAACTTGCTTGAGACATTACGCATTAGCAATAAGAGTGCGTATTGATATTACTCCGTTGGTTTACGAATGAAAGAGATTATAGTGACTGTAATATTGCCCCCTCGGCGGCCAAAGTCTAAGAACAGCATGACAGGCAGGATGAATAATCTCTCCAAATAATCAAAAACACCGCCATGTCTGATCTGAGACAATGTCAGTGTCGGGAACTAGAATTGGAAAAGCGTGCAGTTGGGCTATGTCAGAGTGAGTGAGTTGTGTTTAACGCCGCTTTTAACAGTATTCCAGTTATATCACGGCGTGTCAGCTTAATGTGGGAGGAAAGCCCGAAGTGATGCAGGTATCAGACGTTTACCACTTCGGTGAAAGCCACGAACACGGGTATGGTGCTGACAAACCTAGAAACATAATCGGGGCGAACGGGGAGGCGAACCCACAATCATAGGTTTCTGGCGTGCCCAAGGGACGCAACTCTGCACAGCGAATTGCGGCGCCTTAGACGACAAAAATGGATACTGGCAATCTATTTAAAATTACGTAACGTTATTATAAAATAATTCAGGCATTGCTTCAGATTTCCTTTCCCAACACATCATTGTCGGATCGAGCAGGACAAGCGAAAAAAGTATTTTGGGGGTAAGACCTGAGGAAAAATCATATTTTGCAGTAATTGCAGTAAATAATGTTTTGGTGAGAAAAGTCCGAATTATGCAGGTGTAAGATGTTTGTCATCTTCGTTGTACGCAGTTACGTTGAAGTGTCTTACTTTTGTACTGATGGCCGACCCCTCTAAAGAAATTAGTTAACATTATGGTCAGAATCGTTTATGTGGGTTTTTTTAAAGACATAAAAAGCTATTTAATTTCAGATGATGTAACCCTTTACACAACTGATTGTCAGCGTTTGAAGGTCATATGCTGTCGACGTGACAAACATTGTGTTTACAGCAAATGCTGCACTAACGTGAAGCTACTTCGGACACAATCACAAAACCACGAACAAATTTTCAGCTCCTTTTGTTTCGCCAAATGACAGTTATCGCAAATTTGTTTGCTTCTTTCAATATAACTATTGTTTTAGTCCGTGAAACTCGGGTAATTGATACCTTCACAACCCTCATTTCACGAAGAATGCCTCATTACAGACCAACTTTCAAACTACAGATAAGTATTATTATCTTAATTCACCACGAATCGTGATTCAATAACGTGGATATCTTATCAGTAATGGCGTTTGCTGTTAATGAGGGCATCATTAAGGAGACTGAAGTTCGTCCGATCGTGCTCTGTTGAATCAATTCTCCATTATTTTTAGAACAATACAAGATTATCGACCCACGGTTATTTAATGAGGTTATTTCTTCAGGGTGGAAACTGCAAAGGGAATTGTTTTCCACGTGTTTCTCATCCTCATCTGATAGATTTGTTCTGTAATGCTTTTAATTTACTTAATTTTACCTAAAAATTCAATTTCATCCCTGAGAAAACTTAAAGGGGAAGTGTACACGCAAAAATCACTTTCTTTCTTTTTCTAAACAAAACGCAATTTTAGAATTAATTAGTATCTGTGTTTGAAAATATACACTCATTTTTTTCACAGTGAACGTAGGAAGCTCACAATAGTGTGAAAATGATATGCCGTTATGAGGCCTTCGTTTTTCGAGCTAAACAGGCCTGAGTTATCCCCCTTAGATTATGACGTAATTGGTGCCAATTCAACTGGGTCCCTGTCTATTCTCAACGCAAAAGATATCAAGTACCAGTTTGCGGTAAAACAACATGGCCTACGACACACTCCGGCGCAGTGGTGACTCAGCATAACACTATGCTGGCTGGCATCTGAGACGCTAGAATCACACACCTAGACCTACACCACGTGAAGCGGCTCTAACAAAGCATGATGACGTCATAATGTTTATCAATTGGCACCAATGACGTCATATTGCAAGGGGCATAAGCCATGGTGTTTTTATTGTGGAAATAGAACACTTGGTAAATGTGAAAAATATAAATCGTTTTAATGCGAAAAATATGTTAATTAATTGTGATATTTTTATATTTTTGTTTATGACACTTCTATGTTAACACTTTTAATGTGGAAAAAGTACAAGAAAAATAGGTTAATTTCCGTGTGAACTTGCCCTTTGTGAATAATATCTATGAAACTGCTTAGATGCCGAGTACAGCTCTCGGGTCCTCCCATAATATTTCTATATGGTTAATCATCGGGGTTTTCCATAGAAATAACTTCACACTTTTTATCATTTATTTCCCTTTGAATACATTTACTTTCATGTGCTTTGGATAGGCCATAAACATTAGCGGTCTTAGGTTAAAAATTGGAAAGATGGTCCTTTTCTTTGTCTAGAATTTCGTCATCATACTTATCTAACAATTTCTTAACCTTATTCTGGACAGATTTTTCTTCTCTTTTACTAGAATTGCTATAATATTGATCATCATTTATAATGGACATTATCTTTCTTTGATAAAATGATTTATTCATAATAATTATAGCACCTCCTTTATCGTATTACTATTATCTTTCTTTGATAAAATGATTTATTCATAATAACTATAGCACCTCCTTTATCGTATTACAATGTCTTTATTATTTTTAAGATTAGTAAGGCCTATCAATTCACATTAAGATAGGTTTGGTTTGGTTTTGGACCCGAGAGCTGTACTCAGCGTCTTATGCCAACCTTGTTTTGGGATTTTTAGAGAATATGTTTTATGATAAGGTTAGAGATACTCTTGGTGAAACTATGAAAGAACAAATTGAACATTCGTGGAAAAGGTTTTTAGACGACTGTTTAATCATATTAAAAACCAGTGAAAGTCAACGTACAGCTATTCATGAAATTCTAAATTCACTTAATGCGTCACTCAATTTCGATATGGAAAAAAGCGAATCCAGTTTAACCTTTCTCGAAGTAAGAATCAATTTAATATCTGGGAGATTTGTACAAACTGATATCTTTTATAAAGATACTGATACGCATTAATATTTGAATTTTGGATCATGTCACCCGTATCATACAAAACGTAATATCCCTTACTGTCTCGCAAGACGTATTTGTACCATTGTTTCTGGCAGTGATGTTAAAACTTCCCGCCTTGCTGAACTTAAGAGTTTCCTACTGCATCAAAATTATCCCGCAAAGCTAACTGAAGATAGCATACAGAAGGCGTTAAGTATTGAGCAACTAAAACTGAGAGAAGTCTGAAGAAAACAATATGGGGAATAATTTAACTCTAG